CAAAAGGCATGTAATTTCAAAAGAAAGGTTAAACATGAACCGTCATATAGGAAATATGGGACAAAGCTCAACGCACTGGGCTTACCAGAGAGGGCAGGCAATGGACAGGACACTTAAGGATGAAGACCCCGAAACCTATCTAGAGAGCAAAGGTCTGTTCAATTGTTTCTACAATATAATGGATAAAGTTTTGGAAGAAATCTTTGCGCGATTTAGTGTCTTTCTTTATTTATGTGCTTTGGCGTAACGGAGGCATCTGAGGCCCTTAGCAAAAAACCGCTACGAGACTTCTATTCACAGACAGCAAGAATTTCATATTGAGCATTTCAAACACAATAGAGAAAGATAACAATGAGAATTATTTTCTCGTTAGCTAGGGAGTACTGAGTTTTTGAGCTTCAGTTGAAGAACTTTCAAAGTTTTCAAAATTTATTGCATTTGAGCAAAGCTTTAAAGACCTGGACGGAAAAGCACCTTGGGCCCTTTCTTGGTCGGGGGCCCTTGGATGTTGTTGTGTATGCGCGCGCGATGCCTAAGATCCGCTGCGACCTAACGCTAGACCTAGAGAGCACACGAGACAAGACGCCATGTTTTCACTCCGACCCTGATCTAATCTAATCTATCAACTCCAATCCGAGGCTAGTATAAAATGGTTTATGCCTAATACATTACATTCTCCCTTTTCTTGAAATTGTCCTCTAGGGCTTCTATATGAGTTTTGTAAACGTAACCAAACAAACAATTAATATAAACGATGTTCTTCAGCTTTAGATGATTGTTCTCCAGTGTCAGCAAAGTATATGTGATATTCATCCATCAACGAAACAAATATATAATCTTCAAAGTTCCGGCTTCTTGATTATAATGAACATAACTAGTAGAACTCCAATGTGTTGCTCAATCAACTTGTGCAAAGTCCATCAATATAAATATATACAACCTCCTGTCTGTCCTTTTTATTCAGTTTTTCTTCTTACGACTCCTTCTTATTTGAAATTTCTTCACTTGTACTTGTTCTTGAATGGCTGTTGGAACAGAATCTGGTACAAAAACTGGTGTTCTGTTGCCAATATCTTCTTGTATGTCTTCATTGCTTTGTTTATTCCAATGATCCTCAACAATTCCTTCCTTAAACCTATTTTCACTATTTTGATGCATGTCAGCATTATCACTTTCATGCAAACTAGAATTATTGTTTTCATTTAAGTATGGAGTGTTATTGGCGTCATTAGCATTAGTGATTGCTCTATTCGGTCTGCGCTCGGAACGCGTTGGCCTTGCGACATTTTGCGCATTGTCAATTAAGAGTTCCTCTGCTAAGATGTCTTCCTCTTCATCTGTGTTGTATGTGTTCTCCTTTTGAGGTACTGCTTGTCTGTTTGATTCACTCTCATTGTATTTCTTGAGATGAGCTTTGTTCCTGTAAAATTTGTTTCCTCTTTCATTCTCTACTAAAGCACTTTTCCTGTAGATCTTGATGACTTTGAATTTCTCATTTAACCAATTTGGAGATAATTTGTCATTTTTCCAGAGATTTTTTACTAGCACTGTGTCTTGTTCCTGAATTTCACTGTCTTTTGCATTCCTTTTGATATCTGTGCAATTTTTCATTTTTCCTTTCTTTTCTCTGTCTTTCCTATCTAATTCTGTGTCTTGTGATTCATCCTTTGCATATTCTGGTATGTCATTCTTGATACCACGTCCAAAAAATACTGTAGCTGGGCACTGTCCTGTTGTTGCATGTGGGGTTGTTCTGTAGAGAAGTAGAAACTTGTTCAGCTCTTCTCTCCAATCTTTTCCTTCTGCGTGTGCACATTGATTTGCCTTTTTGAGTGATCTGTTGAATCTTTCAACTTCACCGTTGACCCATGGTGAATACGGTGTCACATTCCTTAGCTTTATTCCATGTTGTTTGAGGTACTGTTTGAATTCGTCTGAAATGAACTGTTTTCCGTTGTCAGCAACTAATTTGTGCATGTAACCAAACATAGAAAATATCTTATCTAATGCTTTGATTACGGTCTTTGTGTTGATAGTTTTGACTTGTGCAACTACTGGGTATCTTGATCTGTAGTCTATGAGTGCTATTGACTTTATTGGATCCTGTTACTTGACATGCATGGCAATGTTTTATCAAGTTTTCCACTTCTTGATCTATTCCTGGCCACCATACTTTTTCTCTAAGTAATCCTTTAGTTTTCACAATGCCTAAGTGATGTTGGTGTGCTGTGGCAAGTATTCTTTGTCTTAGATCTGTGGGAATTATTAGCTTTTTGAAATAATATCATCTTTGATCCAGAGGTCTCTCCGGTTCAGAAAATATGGTTGGCATTGTGGACTTTTTGACCATTTCTCTGATTTGATCTGTTCTTTGATGTTTTTCAATATTTCATCATTTCTTGACATTTCTTTAATTTCCTCTATTGTGACTGATTTATGAATAGCATCGTAAACAATTGAGTTGATGAAATGTTCTGTATCATCACTTAACTTTTCTCCTGTAGCTGGTAAAGGTGAACGAGATAGTACATCAGATGCATTTGTGTGTCCTGGTTCAAATA